CAGATTCCAAATAAACACCCAAACCAGCTAGGCTGAATTATCCTGTATGTCTTTCCAAGCTTTAGGATCTGTCAGCTTCTGGCTGCTTTTATCACGGAAGCAGATCAGCTGGGAGCCAGCATCACTGCCTGGGGTATGAGAATATATTTGCTAGGGTAGCACACGCTGAAGGAAAAAACCTGCCTCATTCAAAGTGTGAGCTCTTCTCTAAACCCTGCCTGCTGCTTTTTTTTTTCCTTCAATCCATAGTTGCAAATATCACACTTAGTACATTTTAAATGGAAAGCGGATGCTCCTGCATACTAATACCTTCAGGCTCTCTTGTCCTTTTACAGAACAGCATGCTTACCAAAAAAGAAAAAAAAAAAAAGAAGAAAGTAAATACAGAACAGGTTGTTTTCTCTGTCATTAACTCAGTCCACACTGAGGTGAATGGGTGTCATTACTCTGCAATTATTAAAGTATCACAGCCCAGCCAACAAGGTTCAAACTCCACAAGCGGACTAGAGAGAGGGGAGGCAAGGTCTTGATAATGAGCATCACAACTTTAAGACGACCCCTCCAAGAGTCAGCTCCCTTTGAGCCTGAGGATAATGTGATAGGGAAGGCCATGTTCTTTGCTCAGCCTTTCTGTCCACCTTTTGTGCCGAAGGGCAGAAGACAGCAGGGGGTCAGAGAAATGAAGTGCAGTGATCGTACAGATTAAAGATGATGACAAATATGGGAGTGGAAAGAAAGCTCCGCAGGCACACTAGCTCCAAGGTCATTGCCAGCTTCAACTGAGGGAGAAAATGAACTGCCACCAGAGGAAATGCCTGCTCCTCTGCCAAGCTGCCACCTTAGGCTTTATGCTGGAGAAATGATCAAGAGCAGTTGGGCAGCCTTTGATTCTGTGCGTCCAAGAACATCTAAAAACATTCATGACTGAAGATCAGTCAACTGTGACTGATAGCACCAAATAACTTCCCAGGATCTAAAAATATATCCAAGTATTGTCCATGTGCCCCAGGAGCTACACACCTCACATTACTCTGCAAGGGAAACACAAAGCCAGAGCGACAGGAGCGAGCAGGCCACAGCAGGGTCCAGGTAATTAAAGACATCGGTAAAAAGGAAACCCAAACAAATCAAAGGACGTAGCAGATCATCCAGATAAAGCCGTTACAATTGAGCACTTCAGTAAGCTATAGCTGTAGCTCAGTGGGCTAAAAGAGGTACTCATTTCTGTGGGCATCAGTTGAAAGTCAGCATTATTACAGGGAATATAAACGTGGTGAGATCATCCTGTTCTGTTGTCGATACAAATTAAAACTAAAAAATAAAATAACAGCACAGAGCCTAGCAGGACAGGGGCGTGCTGGCTGGAGAGAGACCAAGGAAGGAACAGACTGCAACTAGCAGAACGATGCTGTTCAAGATACAGAGATGTATCCAGAGCACTTGCCCACAATATTCTGGGCTTATGCCAGTGCAGTTAGTTCCTTCCCACACAACCGTTTTGTGGGTTTTCAGGCTTTTTTTTCCAAGAGGAGAAAATTCAAATAAGCTACAAGGGGATCCCAGACAATGGTGTCAAAAGGGGATGAATTATCTAAGAAAACATAAGTGCATTAGGAAACCTCCAAGCATTAGGACTTGCAAGCATCCAAGCATTCCCAGAACAAGGTCAACCATTGCTTTCTGGCTCACTGAACTCCTCAGGACCGTCCTACAGCTCTTCTCCCCTCCTAGAGCCCCACAGAAGCAGAGTGGGCATCAGCATCCACATGGATGGAGGTTGGCAGAGCACAGGACCCCAAGTCTACTGACCACCACCAACAGAGATAAGTGCAAGTCAAGACCCTCAAGGAATGGAAATCTTTCCAGAAATTTAGTCTTGTCAGCCACTTCCAAAGGAAACAAGGGGTTAAAGCAGTGACTGAAAGGCCAGTGGTATTTACATAAGAAAGACCATGAGCACAAGCCCAGCCTGTATCAATATTAGCAGTGACTAATTCAATCTGTCAATGGGAAGAATTACAGGATCTCTGGAATACGGGACAGCCAACGCAAAGCCTTTAATTCACAGACAGTCGATACTGAAAAGAAAAATAAACCACAAAAGCAACAAAGATTCCAAAGTGCAGCTAGCAAACACAAGCACCCCCAGCACTGTGACCATCCCAAGATTCCTAAATTCCTCCATTGCTTTAGTAGGAACCTAATGAACCCCACAAATGTGTTGCTCAAGGCACAGATGTACCACCAGGTTAGCAGCAGCTCCAAAAACTCAATGCTCCCCTCATCCCTCTTCCCTTCGCTCCAAGTTTTTCTGGTAAAACATCAGGACAAAATGTTGTTGCAAGGATGCAGCAACCTGCTTCCATCAGAGAGCAAAGTTTTAACACGTGCTCAGATATTAACATAGTCTAAGCTATTTTCACTTGCTTTCCTCTGATTCACTATACTCTACACTGAAATTATATCTTAAAAGTCAATTCCCTTAATGCTGTACCTTCAGAAAAGATCTTGATGTGAAAACAGCATGGAAGTCCAAAACCAGTTTACTTCATTGCTTTTAAAAATGATCTTTTCCAATAATTTTTTTAAATCACACTATTATAAATCTAGATTATCTCCAGTTCAATGATGAATTGTATTATAAACTTATACTCTTCTCCTAGCTAATTATTAAGCATAAGCAAGACTTTGCAGGTTGGAGAAGTTACAAAGAGAATCTCAATAAGTTTATTATACATACACATCTCAGACAATAAAATTACTTACAAACACTTGTGTATACATCTTACATAGTTCAGGAAAAATGATGCAGAGATTGGAAAGCAACTGAAATCAGCAAATGCACCTTTTGAATTGTGCTGTTTCCTCCACTTTTTTCAGGAAGAAAAGTACATGATAAAAAACTATTTCTATTCTGCTGGTTACCATTCCAATGCTCATTTTCTCTCGCATTGGTAATACAGCAGCATTAACAGTGCAGTCAAAACCATATTTGTTTGCTAGGCTGTATTTGGGATAGATCCTGCTTTGTGATACAAAGCCCCAGTAGTGCAAGGCAGATATTACATCAGCTTATCTAGGCAATGGAGGACAACCCTCCTGTACAGGATAGCCACCAGTCTCACTGGAAAAATGACACTTAGACAGGTAAGTGATAAGAATTTATAAAACCATGGCCTGTAGGATAATTTGGCTCACCTATACCAGAAGTCCTTCTACACGCAAATTATTCTATCTGCATCATGAGGACAGGCAAAGCCTGTGTGCATCACACCAACTGACAACCTGCGTGTATCACACCACTGCTCCAAAGGGTCTGGCTAGCCTGGAGGTGACACAAACCAGCACCAAGGCTCAATTTTGATCAAACAGCCAGTGCCAAAATTTGCATTAGTTAAATTTGCACAGCACCACTGAAGGGATGGTTGTGGTGCAGTAGGAGGCAGAATTTGGTGCCAGGTCTCAGTAAATGACAAAAACAAAACACGAAGTGATTCAGGACAGACAAACCTTTTCAGCAAAATATTTCCTGTGTCTTG